TATCATAATTACACGAGGTCTGAAACATTGCTTATTGAGGCAGTGCTCAGGTGCACGACATTCTGGACGAAGGAATGAATTGCATATTTTGAATAAGAAAACAGAAAGTTGTACCTGTCATGTTAAATCTGTAACATAAATTCTGACTGTGAAACTATGGACTTAACACACAAATTGACAATAAGCTTCACTTCAGAATAACTTTTAGGGTCTTCATAAAGTTTACTGATAACAATTGCTTTTATAAATATTTTCAGGCATCATAACACGGTATACAACATAGTATAATTCATATAAATCTGTAATGCACTCGGTTATTTTGAATTGTATTGTGAGCTGGTGGTTTGCTACAATTACTTGTCTAACAAATGTTCCATCCATCAAAATGCATCTTATTTACTCAATTTTATGCTTTTTCTAATTATCCAATCATGTTCGTTTTCAAAAATGTTAAAACCTACTGCTACGGAATTTTTCAAGGAAATGACGGAAAACCATTGCAGGCTATAAGGGTGTGATTTCGGTAGAGCGAAATAGGTTCAAATGATTTATATATCTATTACTAATTTGTTTGAATATTGTATACAATGAGTGATTGCTTTCCGCTCCTGTGGAGCCAGTTACATAGGTCGTACAATTAGGCGTGTTTCTCGTCGAATTTCCGAACATCACCCTGCCTGGTTAAGCAAAGGTCAAACAAAATCTATTCGCAGCTCTATTCTGGCTCACCTTGTGGAGACAGAACACAAGATTGACGTTAATCATGCTTTCAGGGCCATTTACCGCATACCTACGAATCTCAATTTCGCTTTAAGAGTTCGACTTCTAAATATTGCTGAGGCTGTGGGGATTCATATTAATAACCCTAATTTATGCACCCAAAAGAAGTTAGTTCAGTCATTATCATTACCTTGGCCATCCAGGTTTGAATAATCCAGAATTTTTGTGAAATTTCCCTAATTTTAGTTGATATTCTATTCGCTGTTATATCTTCATTATTATTATTATAATTTAAGCATCTTTAATGAATTGTAACAGCATTGATCATACTTTACAAATCGATATTTTTAAAAAACGCTAATATTGTTATTAACTACTAATTTAAAATATTCTGTGTATATAAACATATATATAATTGTAAAGCCTGGAAGAGGAATTTATCGAAAAGAATATTCTTTGCTCGATTATTTTGTGATTGCTTTCTAACTTAAGATACTGAGAATTCTATACTATGGTCGAATTCATTTTTCAGAATTAATCTATTATTATGTTCACTTTTTGGTTTGTTTTCAAACAAACACAAAAGTTTATTTTAAAACAAACAATTAAATAATTAATGAACCATTTTCAATAATTAGTTTGTAGGTATTCTTTTTGTTTCAGATAAGACCATGGATTGATATCAGTTAGAGAGCCACTGAGAACCAGGGAGTACTGGACAGCTGCTGTTTCATCCTAGCTTGGGACTCATCGGCAGCACGCACACACTGAGTTTCGAACCCAGGACCTTCCCGTTACACAGCAAGCTCTCTGACCATTCAGCCACTGGGACCCGATTAAATGGCCCTTACGAATTCTAACTTCCACCAATTCGTGATTTTAGTGCAACCACCAGCCATTGTCACCGGCGAGCATTATCCCTCGCTCCCGACAGGAGGGACCCCACTGGTCATGACTTCTCACTAGAACTCCAGGAAGGTCCTCCCTGTAGCAAGTCACTAGTGAAAATCAGATTAACTCCCAAGAATTAGTTTGTGAAAATTCTGTTTGTCTCAGGTTAGACCATAGATTGATATCAGCTAGAGAACCACTGAGAACCAGGAATAACCGAACAGCTGTCTCCTCCTATTACAATTAACTATGTGGTATTTTATTAACTCAAGGTGATAGAAGGCATAAACAGTGAATATGTGAAAACCCAAATCCTGTATTAGACAAATGATGTAATTTGCAAAACATGCAATTAAAAACAAAAAATAAAAACTGAAACTTCTTCTCATTTAAACATTCTTTGATCATTTTTTGATAGTGATTTGATTATTACAAAAGTTACTCATCATCAAAAATTTCAGTATGAAACTTTAATGGTGAACTGTGATTGCTCACATTGCATATTAAACTTTTGAAAAATATTTAATACACAAAAAATGTTCAATATATTAAACACTTTTTTAATATCTTTATCAATTTTTTAAAATATCGCATGCATAAACAGAGTATTTTACTTAAAATACAGCTTGATGGTATGAATACTACTGAATGAACATACTTGCCTCAAGCACTTTGATACTGTCTATAAAGCTTCACAAATATACTACATACCTGTCTGTAATGCTCAGGGTATAAGAAATACAAAAATATGTAAAGCTGACCCACTCTGGCTGACGATGGATAGCGATGGGATCCAGGAAGCAGGTTGTGTCAGCTGGATTTGTTTCCATTTCCACAGATTTGTGATGTGCCCACTTAACCCAGTACCAGTTATTTTAAAAGCTTCACAGTTATCCACTAGTGTGTGACATGACAGCAACTGCCCGTATAACGAGTAATAAATGTTATTCATCAGAGCTGTTATTTAAATTTCCCTCTGATTGATTTTGTCCTTCTGAAATATTCAGTCTTGTTTGATCAAAGTAGTTTGTAGTGAGACTTTTATGCACTCGTTTTTGCAATTAATATTCTTTTAGGATTTTTAAAGTGTTATTTTACAGAGATTTGAATGGTGTGTCAGTGGCATAGAGGTTAGGACTCTCGCAGACTATGCACATGGTAAGGTGTTCGATCTCTTGTCGACGCACACTTGATATCAATGGTCGGCCTGCGAAATTCGGGCTACCGATATCACATGCACTAAATTCCATACTTGTATCAAAAAGTACTGTGTGGAATCAGGCTATAATCAAAATCATATCATTTGTGAAACACAAGTGGAACAAAATTCATAATCACAATAAAGGCGTTGTACTACACGTGCTAACTAGTCTATTATTCAAAGGAACTGAATATTTTTGCAAATCTATTAGTGAAAAAGGAAATTATAAGTAGCATTTTCAAAGATTATTCAGTTTACACTAACTCTAAAGGTACTGGTGTAAATAAAGTTAATTGAGGATTATCATTAGATTCTTAGATTTGGTTGGCAAGAATCCATTGGCTGAGGTTTACTGCTCACTGACACCCGTCAGCATGTCATTTCTTCAGGTGACTGGCTTCTGTAGGACAGTACTGTTACTGAGTAGTATAGTGAAGTGTAGTTTAGTGCTTAGTGACATTGACCAAATTCTCTCAGTTGTCAGACAGCACTTCTTTTAAGGTTGCGAGTATTCTTTGCAAATGGATGTCATTCAGTTTGGAACCTCGATTCAGAGCTTCTTGTAGATTGCCTGCAATCATTCCATAATGGACAAGATTTCATTTTGATAAATCACACAGTGTAGTACAGTTATATCAACTGATGACGTTTCGAGCACAAACTATTGCTCATAATCATGTCAAGTTACTCACACAACTTCTTTCCTTCATTTATATACATGTGTGGAATCGACTAGATATCGGAATAAAATTCAGTATAAGATAATGTACATTCAGAAATAATAGTACGAGTGTTATTAATCCATTACAATTAGATGGGAAATACGACGAATGTTTTTATAGTCATAATAAGTTAATTGTTAGAATGTTATGATGTGTTTGAATTGAAATAGAATTTTAAGATTATTTATCATCCTCTTCTGATTTGACCGGCGGTAATAATATCTTCCATATTTCTGGTATTTGCATTGAGTCATTTCTGTTGCATGTGTTGGGTGTAGACTCGATGAATAAGGATTCCGTAATCAACCTCTCTCTCCACCTACCTATTTTACTTTTTAGAATTTTAACCCTATCCCACCCTATTGTGTGGTTGTTCGTTAATGCGTGATAACGCAATAACACTCGTCGTATTTCCCATCTAATTGTAATGAATTAATAACACTCGTGTTATTGCCACCAGTCAAATCAGAAGAGGACAACAAATAATCTTAAAAATTCTATTTCAATTCAAACACATCATAACATTCTAACAATTAACTTATTATGACTATAAAAACACTCGTCGTATTTCCCATCTAATTGTAATGGATTAATAACACTCGTACTATTATTTCTGAATGTACATTATCTCATATTGAATTTTATTCCGATATCTAGTCGATTCCACACATGTATATAAATGAAGGAAAGAAGTTGTGTGAGTAACTTGACATGATTATGAGCAATAGTTTGTGCTCGAAACGTCATCAGTTGATATAACTGTACTACACTGTGTGATTTATCAAAATGAAATCTTATCCATTATGGAATTATACTCTACCACAGTGCCCAAGTTTTATACTTATATCAATAATGCATGCAATCATCTAATAATAGTACACAGTGCAACACAATGGCAAATCTCTTAGCTTGGCGAACAATTTGAAAACTATGCCGACAGAATTCAGTCCCCACAACTAAGAACTAATCACGAAATACTTGCCATATTTTAGTGACCAATCTATGTGAAATTAGATATACCGTAAAAACAGCGAATCCCATCTAAAAAGTGTCACTCATTTTACTGTAAACTTCATTTAGGTACACAAAATATAAATTCCCACTAAAACTACGAAACTCCAAATCTTATCATGAATACAAGAGTGAAGACAGAGATTACTTAGAAATGCTGATTTTCGAAGCGTTTTATTAAAATAATCGATACTGACTAAAAACTCTGTGACAATGTTTTTTCATCGATATGAAAATGTTTAGGTGAATTTTCATTTTAACAACATTGAACAAAGTGTCATTTGCAAAGGAAGAGTTATTGGAAAATCAATTCAAATGAACTTTGTTTCAAATAATAACGCGTGACGAGTGCTGAAATATTACATTCAAATGGTTAATTAATTGAATGAACTTTGTACTCAAACAAAACCACTAGTATTTCGCCTGTAAATAAATTTAAGTACACTCGACGTATCTCCGTTTCCACTAATATAGCAACACTGTGTAGAAATTAAGGTGGGTTACTCTCACTAATTTATTGATGTGTTATTATTACTACTCATCCTAACATTTTCAGACGAAGATAGGGCTTCAGCCACGCATCTTTATTATACTCAGTCCTCTTCTATCAATTACAATCAGCTTCATGAATGCCCTAAATCTCCACTTCTTCTTTACATTATCGTCTGTATTTCACGTTCAGACATCGAACCCATCACTTGAGTTTCACTTACGGGCCTTGCTTGTGATATCACTTGAAAATCTTTTCAGTATATGTATAGAACATCCATTAGTGATACAGTGTATAATGCTTTAAACTTTGACTAGTGTACTAGCTGGTCCTGTGCTCGGAGAACTGAGAAAATAAGTCTGCTGCTAGCAACCCTAACTAGTGGTATAACAGCCCTGTCGTTACTGAAACTTCAAAGTATAAGAAAAATGAGTAATCCTCTGCTGGAATTGGGGAACTCTCCCAAATCTAGAATGGACGTCTTCAGTAAGTGCAAACCTTCATGAAGCAATAGCCGGAAGTTTGTTGAATAAGAATCATTCATTTTGGAATAATATTTTGGGGCTTCCGACATAGTTATTCTTTTTGTTCATTAGGCTCTTCGTCTATTATTACATATATAGCCCATCATTCACCAAAAAAGCCGTATAAATTACTTCAGTCTTGATAGCCTTAAAAATCTGAATCTTGGACTAACGCCTGCTTTATACTAGAAGTTTCAGTCATCATTGTATTATCCAAGAAGGCTTCAGTGGATCAGGACACGGGAAACCATCTACAGTTAGGATCACTCCAACTGTAAAATCAATCACTATGAGTGAATCTATTGCTCATCCCCGCTAATTAAAGCATCGCGGTTCGTTGTTATGGTGGTTTAATGAAAATTTAGATTTTTTGTAGGTTTCTAAATGGAAGTTTTCATCAAACAGTTTTTCTGGAATACACGTATAAACGTATATTACTAAATTTTCATGAATTCATGTTGGCATATTTTGGCCTATCTATTGAAACGCCCTAACACGCACCTGATAAAGGTGGTATCACCTCAGAAAAAGATATGTCATATAATCTTCCAAGCACTACTGCTTGATGCTAATGGCTTCCACCTATTCTTATCAGCGTGTAGGATATTATCAGCGTCATCTTGACGTTTAGCCTCCTTTATTTAGTTTCCCTTTCTGATATAAAGCAGGTGTACAAATATTTTGATTGGATACTGCACAGTGAGAAACATAATGTGTCTATTCCTCCGTTTGATGTAGATTGAGTTCTAACACTTAGATATTATTTCTGAAACGATGCTTTACTCCCGGCTTACTTGTGGTACCGAATTCCTTCGTAAACTTTCCCACAGCTAACAACTCTTTGGATACATTTATCAGTGAACAAAATATTCCCATATTGAGTTTGTGACATTTATCAGTATTTAACACTCATAATTGAATCATTTTCATATTTTTAGCTTGACAAGCCACCAGAATGAATATTGAAAGAGAAGCTTCACTGTTATCGTATGTAAAAGTGAACTCAACAAAGTCAATTATAAGGGTAGTTCAGAAAGCTGATAACACTTTTACTTCATCAGGTATTACTACTAGCAGTAATTCAAGTAGCAGAATTCGTTGGTTTCATACTTCTCCTGCATCTGTATGTTTTCATTTCGGAAACAAATAATTTTTGAACAAAGGTTACCAGATTTCAGAGGGAATTTGGAATCACATAAATTTATAGCATTTCTGGTAATGTAAGTGTCATGTCGTAATTCAGATTTCTTTTCAACTGTAATTAGTGAAGTATTTATCCAAACAGACTTTAATATCTCACGGCCTACTTGTAACGGTGATATTATACAGTCGTATATTTCGATTTTCCCAAATAAGCTTCCAACTCGATTCTTTATGTCATTATATCGAATTTCACCCCACTTCAAAGTACAAGCATATGATTGTTTATCGTATACCCCTTGTGGTGGGAGGTCTATGCATACAAGTGCCCACTTACCTTATACTCAAGTGTGAATGGGATATACTTAATAGAATTTTGATGACAGGGATGTGTTTGACAGCAACGTTAAATTCATTCTAAACTTTAGGCTTGACAATGCTAGATTTCTCTTTGTTGCTTCGCACGATTTACACATAATGTAGTCAGAACTCCTAAATTCCTTGGTAAGAACGTGATACGTATTTGAATAGGTGCTGGGAGTAGAAATGCTTACACTCCAAGCGTTGTTCACTTTGTAAATCCTTGATTGTAGACTAATTTGATGTTTATATTCACTTACAAAAGTAACTGAATTCTGACGAAAGGAAACGGAAATAATGCTTTCATCAGGTCATGTCTGTCCTCTTCAGTATATTATGAAAATAATTCTACTGAAAAATGATTAATTCATGAGGTAATAGGGTTGATTTGTCCCCCGACGTAAATTATTTAATAGGATAATATGAAATCAAGCCATGTTCAAGTGGTATTTGTTGACCTACATCCCTACGATCAGATCAACGCTGCTCGCATGAGTATTATTTCGCTTCACTCCACGATATCACTTACTTTCTCTATCCTACTTATAATCTAGTGACATCTGATCTAATTCTCATCACATTATTATTAAATATGTTCTCTTATACTGTGATATCAATAAACAAATCTTTCATTGATTCATCAATCACAGGGGTTTAGCCATTCTTCTAACACTGTCATTCATTTTCTCGAAGAAACTTTATGGGACATTTCCACTGAATACCATTTTGCTGATAATAAATGTGAGTGATTTTGTTAAGAAATGGGACTTGACAAATTGTTTTTGTTTTAGGATCTTTAGTTAGATTTATTTTATTTGCACATTTATTCTGCTATTCATGGGAGTAATATATAAGACGCAAATACGCCTTTAGGAGAGTAGTTTTATTCTCCCAGCTATAGAGAGTGAGTCTGATTCTATACCATGATGCTATATAAAACATATCATGTTCAAAACTGAGGCAATGTAGAAATGATTGAAAAGATTTGCAGTTCAGGTCAATGATTTTGTTGTTGGGTTCATTGAGTTGGATAATTCACTTGTTATAACTTCATTTCCTTTCCAGGCGACATCTGTAGTGGTACCTTCCACATAAACTGAACCTTTAGAATTAGCCACAAATATAAAATAACTGTCTCTTCTGACGAAATTGGACTTGATTATTCACCGTCTGATATTTTTTTATCCCCTTGTTTACTTATAATGGCAATGATAATTTTGTTGACTTAATATTTGACTTTTTGTCCATTCTGACATCTTTTCATTGATTGATAAATTTGATGTATATCGATAAACATACAGATGAAAAGAAGTATAAGAAAATGTTTGAAAACGACCAGTTATATTAAGATTCTTCAGGATTGACGTAATTAATTCCACAGAGTATCCTCACATCTCACTTCGTCCTACATGAAAAGTACTGTTTGGAATGAAGACATTAACGCTGATACTAGTCAGTCGTCAGCAGTGAAGATGCTGTCTAATAACACAATTAGTCACAAAGTATTAGAACTGCAGGTTCCTCAATACAGTAATTCTACCTGTTTGCTTAAAAAACATAATCCAAGGTTATTCATCAATAAAATATTTTTACCCCCAATTTCTCCTTATAGGCAGCTTTATTAAGTGCTGGTTTCGGATCATTTATGTACATAGACAGTTTACCATGGACCTGTGGATTTTTAGCCGGCGATTTCGTTTTCGTGTGTATATTTCTTGCCGTTGGAAGCAGAATTAGATTTTTCAGTACAATTTTAGTGTGTATTCTAACAGTTTTGTTGGCAATTGCAGTCGTAGCATTTTCAGTTATTGCTGCAACAAAGAAGATTCCATGGGTAAGTCTGATTAGTTATTGTATTTCAAGTGAGTAATTCATGCCAGGATGCAACAGATATGATCAAGGCGTTTTTTTGCATAACATTCAACATAAGTAAAGGGTACATAGAAGCCAATAATATACTTCTCACAGATGACACTAGATATAGTGCAAGAAGAGGGGTGAAGAAGTCACGCTATTTATATGACAATTGCAGCATTTATTTACTATCAAAAATTAGTCTATTTAAAAATTGCCATGTGCATTTTAGGAAAACCAACAAATTTTGGCGAGGACATTAACTCCTTTTATTAGACCGTTACACACCAATGTCTCTACACTACAATAATATATGGTTTTACATCAAATTTATGCCATTCATATGTTGATGTGCTGGGCAATATTAATACCTATCTAGAGACACGATAGGAATGAAAATACTTAGTTACCAAAATCAACAAATTTAATTTGTGGGAGTATGTAACAGGTTAATTCATAAGCTAAAATTCGCAAGATAATCACGATTTGGAACAGATGATTGGATTCCGTAAGAATACAAAGATACGAATAAGTCAAAAGAACTAGCTAAAATAGAAATCGTAATAAAATAACTTTCGTAGGACTGTCTACATATGATCAAAAGGTGGGGAAAATCATTTGTAAGACTGTACATATCATGTTGGCAGCCACTGCAATGAAAATGGTGGTGGAAATTTATTTTGGAAACACAGATTTTGTGGAAAATACCCATCGGGACATTAGATTGAGAAGAATAAGAAGTTCAGCAAAGATATCTTTTCGGCGATTTCATTTTCAAAAGCTGTACAATCGCATTTAAATACATAATTTCACATGGAGACAATTCTTGTTTAATTCTACATAATTATGACGGCGAATAAAAGGTGATAATTATTTCAAACTAGATATGATTTTACGAAACAAAATTACGCAGGATTAGAACGCATATCAAGTGTGTAAAAATGAGCATGGATACAAAATTGAAATAATAATTTTCAACTTGAGATGGGAATCAGGAGGTGCGAATATAGATTACAAGAGCCTTAGAAACAAAATTACATGGGATTTAGCAAATTACAGGTGTGCAGAAAGTGAGCATGGAAACAAAATTGATATAATAGTTTTAACTTAAAATGGAAGTTAGGAGGTGTGAATATAGATTACAAGAGCCTTAGAAACACAAAATAATTGCACAGGATTAAGATATAATTGCAAATTTTTAAAACGGATTATAAATGTGAACAGGAAAAGCATGGAAACAAACTTAAAATAACTGTTTTTTTATAAATGGTAAAAAATGGGGTGAATCGACTGAAGACTGAGGGAGTAAGAATCACACACATAGCGAACGAAAACAAAAGCAAAAAAAAACAAAAAGAAACAAAACAAAAACGGAAGCTACGGTAACATACCGAACTAAGTCCATGGTATTTTGCCTAGATCTGTGTGCTGAGTTGCCAATCAATACTCCGATTACCTTATACTCGTGTCTTCTGCTGTTAATTAGTGTTGCGGAAATTTCTTCAAAAGATAATTTACTTTCGAAAAAAACTACAAGTGATTATTTCTTTCTCCAATAAACCATTATTCAACTTGCATTTAGAAATGGTTTTAAAAAATGGTTTTCCGCCTTTCTCGATTCTTCAGAATTCTTAATTACTCATGATTTCAATCACAGACGTTGTTTACTCATGTTCACATATATTTGAATTAAACATGTTGCAACGAAATCTATTCAGTGTTTCAATAGGGGGACAATAGTTCATTGTGTTGTCTAACATATTTAACACATCAAAATTATTTCATTATTAAGTGTCTTGTTAGATGAGGCCTTTTTGAAATATGGTGATTGTGTGGAATCACATCAGATCAAACATAGATGCTAATCTGATAGCGATAGACAAGGCTTTTATGTGTTTGATTTTCTTGAAATATCTTGACAAGCAACCTCGAGTATAGACTATTGGATGAACAATTTAAGACAAAGGGATTATATGTCGTCACGATCGCATAGAACATTTGCTTTGAAATATATATATATAATATATATATATATATATGAAGATGGTTAATGGCATATAGCGTGAAGTTAAACTAGACACCCAAGAGGTGCGAACACACAGATCATCTTGGGAAGAGTTAGTTTGATCTTCTAATTCGGCCCTAACCACATTATTTTCCTAACCTAACCCTGATTATTTTCTGACTTAACTGTGACCCTACTAAATGCCTAACCTAACACTAAAGTCTCTGTAAACTGGTGAACCTAACGCAGAACCAACCGGATATCCTGTTTGATATCGTAACACTTCATGCAATGATTATTTTCATGAATGTAATGTCGTTTGTCCGGTTTCACAGCCTTCTTCTAATTAAGCGTTCCAAGGTCACTGCAGTGTTATCGCTTGTTGGGTATCTAAAGTTTAACTTCCCTGTGCATCATTTTGTGCTAAAAGCTTTACATACAAGAAAAACCATACGGTGAAGTTTGTAGGTATTATGTAACCTTGATTTTGTGTCAAAATCACCCAATTAAGCGTTTCAGTGCATCATTAATAATAATCTTTCTAATCTTAATTACAGATCGATGAGAAAACCATTTATTCATCAATGTTTATTTTGTCATTTATGGTGAGTAACCGGATACATCGTCTCAACTTTACATATCATTATCAACTTATTATTTCCGATGAAAATGTATATACATATACGTAGTTTATGATACAGCTTTGAACAGTATGAAATTGTGAAATTAGGCAGTGTGAGGCAATGCTATTCAGCCAGATTATTTCACTTTTGTAGGCTCCATAGTTATTCAACTAATACAGAGCAACTGTTCATAAAAGTATTACACCGGTAAAGTCACGTATTCCTATTTACATCAAAAGATGGAAAGAATTCATTGTTCATATATTCTGAGATAATCTGTCGACAAAACTGTCAGCTGTTAACATTACAATTGCAGGTGAAAAAACAGAAAAAACTATTCGGATGCATATAATTTGTCATCAGAATTCAGGCTGTGAAACTTCGAAAGTAGCGAATGCAGCGACTGCAGTAGTTACTAGAATTTATTAAATGTCTTCAAATTCTTGATTTGATGAAATTTTTCTGGCAATTTTTGAATAAAGCCTTGGTTTATTGCCTAAAACTCTTATCCACTTATGAAATATTCATATTTCTGGATTAACTTCTGGTTGTTAGAGCCACAAAATATTGATCATAGTGAATTCAAAACCAGTAGGCAAATTAGATATGTATTTTCGAAATAGACAATGCTGAGTACAAAATAATGAGGTTTATTTAGATGTTGGAGTAAAAGTTGTATGTATGGATTGTAGAAATGGTGTGTTAGTACTTGTAGGCAAACACTGATGTTCATGAGCATCATATATCAGTTTTATAAGTTCTCCTGCTTAAACCATTAAACACAGTTATCGTGACCAGTGAGGTACACTAGATCGGATGTGAGGCCAAATGCTCGCCAGCGATTACATTGGCTAGTGGTTGTGTTGCATCGTAAATTTGGCAGAAGTTGGAATTCATGGACTGACTAATCGATTCTGTCCTAGTGGCTTAACGGTCTATGAGCTCTCTTTGTAACCGGTAGGTCCTGGGACTGGTGTGTACCGTTGAAGAGTCCCAAGCTAGGAAGAAACAGCTTCAGTACTTCCAGGTTTTCCAGTTGTTCTCTAGCCAATGTCAACTCTTGATGAAATCCTGAATTAACTATCATTCACACTGTAATGTGCGGCGATAAAACTCCATATTTTAATGTTTCAATTACAAATTAGGCTTCATTCTCTAGTGAAATTAGTGAAGCAATACATTTTGTTTTTCATTTCTTGCCTACAGCTTCTTTTAGTCGAAGGTAACAACATGTCCACAGAAGAAAATACATACGCATTGTTAGCTTTATTGATATTTGTCACCTATATGATGATCTACTATTCAGTATATTTATTTACATTGAAATATTTTAAGTAAAAATCCTTCTTCGTCTAAATTTTGCTGCAGCTTGGTTGTTTTCTAATATTCTCTGTTTATTGTTTATTCTTATCAAATATATAATCATTATCCCGAGACGAATTGGAAGTATTCTTGTTTTTGTTTGGTGTAAAACGTTGCGTGCGTCGGTGGTATAGCGGTTAGGACGCTCGCCGACCATGCATATGGTCCGGGGTTCGATCCCCGGCCGACGCACTCCTTTACCTCGCTAAGCCAGAAATAATGCTGATGAAGAGGAAAGGTTGGACATGAGGCTAGCAACCGCATCCTGTAAAATAAACACTGCTACAGAAACTTCAAACCACTAGGTTGAAACCCTATGTTCCACTAGGGAATGTGAAGGAAAAAAAACGTTGCACTTCTAAATATTAATGTCACATTTCAAAATGAAGCAATTATTATCAGATATAGTATATAAAAATAAGCACAACTAATAAACAGATAGGAAAATCATACCCAAGAGAGGAATAAAGGGAAGCTCAGAATATATGCGGAAAAGCCTTCCGTTTCCCTTTTTCACATTTCCCATCGTAGTTCAGCCTTGTTTTTTCTCCTTTATTTCTCCAAACCTATGTCGTTTTCCTTTTTCCCACTGTTTGACGCATTTCTGTCCATGCTGGTATCCTCTAGGTGTGGGTGGAAGATATTCATTGCCAGAGTCAACATCAGCGTACCTATATATCATAATTTTGATCGTACCTTCAATATACACGCTCAACACCTTCCTGTGAGATCAGCATACAAATCATCCTGCAAGGTTAGATCAAGATGAAAACGGCAGTAGAATTTGTGCATGGCGCACATAATAAACATGATTGGTGACCTGTCATTTTGTAGACAACTTGCTAGGGCCCTGAATGGAAAGCCTGTTTGTTTCAGTATATACCTATCACATGAATCGATTTTACATTGCTCACATGAAACAGAAGGAATATCCTACCTTGCTTGATCAAAATACATGATCTAAAACGAATAAGATTAATCCCTACAGTAAAAAAATTGGAAAATGTTTGTTCTGTTTTCAGCAGCAGAGAAATGTGACAACAAATATCTAAGAAAGGAAATATTTGTTGTGGAAATGCAAAATATGTAAAAATGAGGGTAGTGAAGATTTAAACTTAATTTTATTTCTTTTCATCTGAAGAGTTTTCACTTTTAAAATGTTGAAGGAGCATCCAGAGAAATCGTCAACATACACCTCAAAAACAATGTAAAAATGATCATCTAAATGAGAAGTATATTCAACATTGCTTTCGAAATACATAAATATGAGACTGAATAGGACAGTGTATATTGTAGGGATCATGAAATCAACAAAATGAGCTATCAGTGGGAAATACTTAACTGCGTACATTCTGATCAACAATTCACTTAAAAAGTAAACGTTTTAAACGTGTCAATGAATACCAGATTTTTCAATCAAATCAAATTCTAATAATCACATCAAGCTTATCACACAGCTTTCAAAGATAATTTATGTAGACCGAATTATCAATACTGAGGGAAATAAAAGACGATCCGGCAGAGGAAACTGTCTTTCTCGATGAAGTCTTCTTCAAAGGTTGTACAGTGGTATTAATATTTACTAAAACAGTATGGCAGTCATTTATTAAGTAACAAGTGTATGTGTTACTGTGCGTTGGTGGCACAGCGGTTAGGACTCTCGCCGACTATGCACATGGTTCGGGGTTCGATCGCCTGCCGAGGCACACCTGATATCAATAGTCGGCCTGCGAAATTCGGGCTACCAATATCACATGCTGAAAATTCCATACTTGTACCAAAAAGTACTCTGTGGAATCAAGCTGTAATCAAAAAAATTTCACTCAAGTGGTTTCTGAAGGCAAAAAGAATTTATGCAATAATTACAAATACAATAGAGACAGGGGTATGGAATTTGGTAAATTAAAAGCTCTTATAAGGTTAGATGCAAGATGGTTGTGTAGAAAGTGTGAAAAATAACTAGGTAAACTCAAAAGAATACAAGGTAGGCGCTGTGATGATGAATTGCTTACTAAAAGCAGAAGTGAAGAAGTAGAAATGATTTTAAGACCGTGGTAGAATAAGAGACTGGACAGACCTTTTATGCATACAAACTTCGGGTTGTGCTGACGAAATGATAACGTCTGAGCCACTTACAAGCGTCGAATCATAGCACACTCTGTGCTATTCCACCTTAACCTTTAGATAATTTTAACAAAAATATAAAAAAGGCAACCGTGAGGTCTGAGTTTAATAAGTGTTCGAGACGTGAGCCAGTAGTCAACTTACATTTTCTCTGAGATAAACAAACTGGAAAATGTTCAGAGATTCTACTGGAAAGTGGGCTCTTTGTGAGGCCATTATGTCTAGCTCACAGGTGAAAGTGAATTAATGAACGCAGATTCAACTTGCTAAAACCATAGTTTCTTCTTCATGCAACAAATAATACTTTACTGGCTGTAAAAACTAATTGCTTTCTCAATGGAAGAAAGATATGTAGAATTCGTGGCCCTTCAAAATATCAGCCGAGATATAATGTTCGAATTCAGTATTCATGAATGGCGATTTGTTCGGCATCAAATGTATTCTTTCAGGTTTCTTTCTTACACTGGTGTTTTCTTGATGAATTTTGAAGGTTATACATTCCGAATTGGAACTTGTCTGAGTCTCTTCATTTCATCATCCACTGTATCACTGGTATAAAGCCTTCTTATTCTTGAACATATGGTTTGGACCATGATACTTACTCTAATCGAAGGGATCACCCAATGAAAATCCGTTTGTTGATCATTCTATGTTAATTTCCTGTGGACTTACCTCTGAAGAGAAAAGTTAGATCTCCTTTCAACAAAACTTTCAGAAAATGGAATTCAGCATTCCACTCAGATTCGTGTTTGAACTTAACATAATAGTGACAGTTATAGAAATCCCTTATCATTTAGATGTCAACATCTTTGTCACATTTGATGAAGATATCCTCTACATATATTTTATGCATATGAATACTATCAACAGTGGGTAATGACACATTATTTTCTAAAGCTGAAGGAAAGCAGTCTCCTATGCATTCTGTTAAATATAAATGGGACTATATATCATCATTTAATGGGGCCTTTGACGGTAAATAAAATTATCTTCGATGAATAGCCGCACGTTTTCGCGATGAAAGAGTTAAAATAGACAAAAAGTCAAATATCAGGTCAACAAAACTGATCGAATGAGTCAGAAAATCTCTTTGGAAAAACAGTCAAGTTAACGTAGATTAGGAAAGATGCTTATTAAATTCATGGACAGTCTTAATAGTTCACTGCGTACAGATGCTTTAACTGAAGATATCGTCTAGAAAGGCAATGAAATATTCTCAAAGCTAGGCTCAATAAATCGGTATGAATACGGTTTACTTCAGAATGAATCCAAGCACAAATCATAAAAATTCAGTTGAATTTAACAACGCTACTTACAAAAGTTGGCACTAGTATGCAGTTTGTTGAAACAATAATTTCATACTGAAAAGTATATAACACAAATATTATTTGGTTTCCGTGAAAATAACGAACATCTGATAAAGGAATGCAAAGCTACCGAAGAATGTTACAATTCCGCAAGAGAAAATAATCTTGTCTGGTATAAATGCTTATAATCAAATTCATTGTCCAGTAATTTATAACGAAGCTGTAATGTAAAACGCATCAGGCTGGAATTATGCCTCCTTGAAATCTGTTATCACACAGCACGAAATTATTGTCTCGAGTGAACCCTTTTATGTGGTTTTTCATATCTGCATCACAGTTTGTTTCAATAGAGATGGTAAAGCAGTAGAAGCCTATATATTTTGGGCTACTTCGACACAAGTGTTCGATGAAGTACAGTTTATGTTTATGAATAAAACCAGATGAACCAGCATATTTTACAATTTACATTTAAACAAATAATATTCTATTCTCATTAGACACTAGTAACTAGTGTGACGTGTCTAGTCCTTTCTTTGGTGAGGACTGAATTCTATCAGTCAGGTTTGAAATGTGGCCACCATTCTAGAATTACAGTTACGGTGAAATCGAATACGTTAAAAACTGTCGTAACTACAGTTATCTCATTTTAAGATTTGTGTATGCCTGAAATTATTGTTTCTATTACTGTTTCGCAAACATGTAAATATCAAACTTCAGAGCAAAACAAACCCTCCCTTAGTTTTCTCGACATTTCTAGTCGAATAATGAATTTTTGCTACATTTCATGAATCAGTAACTGAAACGGATGACATCATGTTCACAGACATTTTTACAGATACATTTAGGAATTGGTGATACGAAAATATCAATGAATATTTATTAATCCACTAAATGCATCGGTTTTTTTCTCTGGATATATATTTATTTCTTCAGCCGCATAAAAAGCAATTATTACTTATTGAAAAATACATACTTAAATGTTCCTCAATATCATAAGAATTATACAAATATTTTGATGTATATAACAGCACAGTGAATAGGCGACTTAACTAACATATTGGAAACTATATCAGTTAATACTAGTTGATTGAATTGACTAAAAGGAACTAAGACATTACTGATGCTGTGGCATATTCTCCGTCTTTTCGCCAACTATAACCTATGAGATGTAACAATATACTGCTGTAATTTGTGTCAGAACTTCAATATTATATTTCTCATCATAACGTGATTTATGGCCATGTATTTTGATAAAATTGAAAGTACAGAATGTGTGACAAAAAAAATGCCCCTACGTTGATCCATTTTAGCGAAATGTGAAGAAGTTATGTTTATACTCCAAGAAACGTTGGTAAAGATATTTCTACTGAAAATGTATTTCAAAAAGTTTTTGAAGTTAGTGTTGTAGTAGAAGTTTCCAAGTCGTAGATAATACAAATTTCCTGGAAAGATTTCAGCTCCGAGATCTAGTGGATAATTACAAACTATTAAAAATAATTCCAGCATGGTTAAGACAAAAAGCCATATCAAAAGTTTTCTGAACGA